ATGGCGGATCCCGGACGCGGCTGGGGTGGCCCCACGAGGAGCTTTGTCTCCCAGCTAGAAACAAGCCCTTAGGGACTCGCTTCGGATTTTGCGATAATCCGCAGCGCCCCGGCACGCCCTTTTCTCGCAGAACTGTAAGGCTTTGCCCAGCCCCAGATGCTGCCAGCCAGACAGGGTGGGAGACGTCTCCCGCCGGGGTGACCCGGAGAACAATAGCCGGCGCCGATACCCGCCCGACGACGAACCTGGGCTCCCAGAACGCAGGGGTGCAGGCTCTGGTGCAGAAGGTGCTCCTGGAGAAACCTCGGGGCACGCGCCGTCTCTCTGGGGTTTGCGCTGGGAAATTCCGGGTGACAGTCTCCTGTTCCCCCAGTCAGAGGGCGGGCACACAGTCACGCCCCCGGCTTCTGGTTCCTTCTAGCTGCGGCCCTGCCGCCTGCTGCACGCGGTTGACCAGCAGCCGAGACGTGGCGTGCTTAACGGCGCCGAGGCCGGAGGTCGCCTGGGTGCAGAGTCGGCTCCCAGAGCAGCGGGCATTGTGTGCCAAGGTGGCCCCTGTTGAGAGGCTCCGTGTGTTCCCAGGGGTGGCCATCTCTGTAAATTGGGGTAAAAAGGGGAGAAGCGTTTGTGGAGATGACCCGCCAAGGGTGTGGTTCCTGGTTTTAGCACCTGCAGCCAGAGGACCACTGCTCGCCTTTGCCAGGGACCACACCCAAGCCAGCGCGTCCTTTTACAGATTTCGCCGGTATTGTCTGCTGACCCAAGACTGGGAGGGCTCTGTGATAGGTGGTGGCTCCTTGCCCATGGGAAAACAGATGAACAGAATGGAGACACAAAACAGGGACCCAGCAGCGCTCGCGAGGCACTCAGAGCCCTGCTCGCGTCTAAACGCTGCATGCCTGAAATGACAGGCAAAGGCCAGAATTCCTCTTTACGCGTTTTCTATGATAATTGTTTCGCTTATGAGTTAGAGGTGAATCTGTAGCCTAAAGTTCGTTGTTTTGTCATTCATGTAAGAAAAAAAAAAAGGTGAATTTTTGCCCCAAGAGTGCAGGAAACTTGCCTGAATGACAGCATCCAGGGACTAACTGATGTGACTTACATATGCCATGAAGATAACCAATGAGCCTTTGTTTGGGGTGTGTTTTGGTTTTTGTGTTTATTTATTTATTTTTTTTACAATTGGCCAGAGAGCACATGTTTTGGACAGTGGGAAAGTGAGCAGGCCCCTCCCGGTGGGGGTCACTCATACTCTAATCCCTTCTCCTCCATTTCTCCCTCCTTTCAGGATTTTGGGCACACACCCAGCTTGTTTTTCAAGTTGTGGGTTCAGGACTCGAACTGCATAGTTGGTCGTGTGGGATCCAGCTGCATTAACCACCATGCCAACAGCTGGCCCAGCCTATTGGTTCTCTTAATCCGGTCCTGAGATCTCAGGATTTCCTCTTAATCAAGTCGGTGTAGAAGGCGAGGAGCTGTGATGTGTCTGTTGTCTCTTGCCCCGGGCACCTGGTCGGTGCCACTGTGAAGGCCTCTTGTCGGGGTCCTGAGTGACTGCAGGAAATCGCCAGCGGGCTGTGTCTTGCTGGCTTTAAAGGTCATGCTTTCGAGGAGATGCCTGTCAGAATTTCCAAAACTGGTCTAGAAATACTACCTGGAACATTGCTCGTTAGCTGTTTTCAACTATATTTTAACTGAATCACACTCGCAGACAGACACACACACACACAGACACACACACCTGAATGCATGCATCTAAAGTAGAAAACCAGAACTCTGGCAATGAAGGCTTTTTCTTGTCAAAGAGCTCCCATGGGAAATCTGTTCTCATGTCATTACTCAAAGGGAAAAGTTTCAGAAGGAGCTGTTTCGTGGGTCTATTCTTTTTGTAATCATTTATGGATTTAAGGATGTAATCCTATTAAAGCACTCCGAACATGCAGCCCCGTCTAGTCCTTATGGTGGGAAGTCCATAATTGAGGAAGGCTAGGATACTCAGCCTGTTTTACAGGGAAGATGTCAGTAGATGGAGAGGAGAGGAAGGAGGAGCCCCCTCCCTTCTGCTGAGGCCGCTCCTGTGAAAACCCCATGCACACAGGACCAGAAAAGGACAGGGGTGGCCCCAGAATTCTGACATGCTAATCTTAACCCCCTGTCTCTCTGAGCTTGGAGACCCCCAGCTCAGTACACAGCGATGTTCATGGGACATGCAGATGTGACCGTTCTCAGCATAGTCTCTCTGAGAGGCGGACGTTAGCCAGGTAGTGGCTTTATTCTCTGCATGCTATGTGCTTCTGTCTCTGAAACAGGTACACACAGCTAGGCAGGTTTACGCAGGTGCCAAAGTTAGACTTGGGGACTTGGCGTAGGCTTCATTTGTGGTACCTCTGCTTCTCTGTTCTCCTGCCAAGGCTACCTGAAATTTCCCCTTCCTTAATAGCAACACTGACCCAGGATTCAGGACGAGCCTGCACTGGCTCCAGGGGATTGTCGGCGAATGGGCACCAAGGCTGTGGGCAAGTCTCTGGGGCAAAAGTAGTTGTTTTCTCCTATCTTCTTCTTTTAAATTTGGCCTTAGAACAATACTGAGAGGCAGAGAAGTCGGTATTGTTAGATAGGAGTGTCTGAGACCGGTCTGTCCTTTCGATGCAAAAATTTACCAGTTTCTGATAGAATCTGAGCCTGTGTATATATTTTTGTTTTCTGAGCTATAAGAAAATATTTCAGAAAAGCCTTCTAAAATATAGTTCCTAGGCCCTGTGGGAGAACAGAAATACAGAACACCTTTGTTGAGGTGAGATCTTATAGGGAGAAGTTGGTGTGTATAAGACAGGAGCAAATGAGAATGAATATGTTTTACCATTTTCAAGTAAGCAGGTGTTTGATTTGATTGCACTACTAGTGAATAAATGAGAAATCACTTCAAAATTGCTTTGCCTAAAAATTTTTTTAATTCTCTCTCTCTGTGCTTGTCAGACAGAGAGAGAGAAAGCAACCTCAATGGAGCATGGTCACGCTACAGTCCTTTTTCTTCCATCCTCCACTTACCAGGATTTGGGGCACCCTCACACAGCCTAGTGCAGTTTTCAAGTCGTAGGGGCTGAGATTTGAACTGTGAGTCAGCCATGTCAGATCCAGCTCTCCCTGCACATGCAGAACCATTGTGCTAAGGGGCTGACTCCTGTCTTAAATATTTTATAGAGAGATGAAAGATTCAACTATTACATAGAGTATGAATCTTTTATGAACTTTGGTATTGATGGATAAAAGTGGCTACAAATTATACAACTCAACAAAGGAAAATCAGGAAGGAACACTGTTTATGATCTGCTCTATTTGAGTCTCTGAAACTAGTTTCATTAAAATGAATTGACTTAATGGGAGCATGCGCTGAGACCCTCAAGCGCTCCCATCAGTCACAACCTGGAGTGTCCCTTGGCTCCCACTGCCAGGACCTCCTCACAGTGTGCCTAAGAGGGACAGCCTGGGCTCTGAGCCAGAAAGTCTGGGTTCATGTCCAGCCCTGCCACTTTCTGTCTGTCTGTCCTTACAGGAGCTACCTGGCTGGGAGACTCATTTTCTTCCTCTGCAATGGGAGTGATTGTGTAGGTACCTCAAGGGTTGTTCAGGACGGTGTATGTTCACGTGCGTGAGACTCCGAGAGCACTGAGCTCTGGTGAGTGCTTGACGGATGTTACTTACCACCTCTTCGTGCTCGTCATGCTCTCTCCAGAATGAGTGCCACAAAACATTTGGATTTCCGATTTAATCTTTCATCCCAAGGAGCCAAGGCAGTTTGCTGTAGGGTATCCATAGTGGGGATAGAAAGAATGAGTAGAACCCCTTTATGAAACTCCCACCCTTGCAAATAGTAGGAATAGCTCTGTGCTGTCTTTCTTCTGGTAGCCTCATTGAGCACAGCTGTGTGAGCAGCTGAGACGTTAGAGTTCTAGAATGTTCCAGAAGTGCTCCGAGCCCTGTTTTGCCAAGTCGTCATCAAT